TTACTAATGTCCAATTATTTGGTCTAATTTTACCATCCCCCCCCCATTTCACGACAATGAAAAGTAGTGCGATTTCACACATGAATTAATCTCAGCTAGTATTGCTATTATTCAGAAAAAACAATCCTTACTGCTAAATTTAGTAATTGGGTAACAGTAAACTCTCTTTCATCTTTTTTTGCTATAATTTTTTACTAGTGATTGCTTATACACCTCTGTAAAGCTTTACTAGTAATACTTCTACAACAGTGTGATGAATTGTAAAACGTTGAGACCAAGCTACAAAACTTTTTGCAAACTTTGATTCTACTTTCGTGGCACTCTGGTCGACTTAACGAAGCTTTGATACCAAATAAAAATTGGTCAAACAATCGAATAACAATTTATTAAAAAAATGTGACAGAGATAGATCAAACAACCATTTAAATACTTAATTCTGAGTATTATAAGTACAGAAATAAAAAAGATGACAGAACTAAAACTGTCAGCAATCAACCAATCTAACAAAAAGAAGAACGTTTTCACTTAAAATAATTCACCCACGAAGTCCTTTAAAATTCAATAAGTTCTTCAAAACAATCTTCTTTTACTCTCTACTCTAAATTTTCTGATTCGCTGATAGCACTATCATTTATAGGCTTCGCCAAAATTTTTTTATGACAACCATGACTACTTTTCTGACATTAGTATTGACAGTTGATGTTTTAGAATGATGTTATGCGGTAACTGTACGATTACAGCCTACACTACAGTACTTTACTGTCAAGTTATAAATTCCCTTTCTCCGTGGATAGGGCTTTGTTACCGAGTCGAATTCATATATAATCCCAATAGACTATCAAACACCCTTTCTTTACATTAGTCAATTGCTTCTATCTCATTCCTATAGTAATCTATATAAAAGCTTGTAAAATAGTGAAGAAGAAAAGATGACGATATCAAGATTTGGCAAGGTGGAGCTTAAAGATACTGTCACTTTCTAGGTATTTTCTATCGTAAAGTAATAATATATCATACTGAAGCTATAAAGGGTTCGGCTTGTTGTCCTTTACTACAATAGCTTCTGACTACTTCTAACAAAAATTTTGAATTTTTGAAATAATATCTCTAATCCGTAATAAATTATAAAGCTATGATAGGGTAGGAATTGTAATGTGTTAAGAAAGTGCTTAAATGTAAGAGAGACCCTATTTACGTAATTCTATAGCATTGTTACTTTTGAGAAAGGACAAAAGATTCTACATTGATTTTTTTCCCTTGATTTGGAATGATTATAAAACGTAATGGCACTTATGCTCATCGTTATGAAGCATTTACTTATACGGCAACAGTATAATAAAGATTCAAAAGTGCCTTATCGAAAATCCCTTTCTAGTAACCTACAGAGTCGCGATACAAATGGAAAGACAGAGCTGAGCTACTGGCAACTTCGGCGCTCTACACGAAGGATTGCCGTACAAATAGCGTTAAGAGCACTTTGTTGAAATAGTATATTTCTCATGTTAAAATTTCACTTTATTGAGGGTGTTCGTAATAGATTATTTTTAAAACTCGGTTACATATCCTGTTTTCCGATTTGGCAAGTGGAGTAAAGTAATTTCTTATCGCAGTAAAACCACTATTGAACCTGGCATTTAGTCCTTAAATTTACGTTATATGGAAGTGCAGACAAATATTCTCATCAATTTTCACCATTTAATTATAAAATTTCATCTATTGTAAGTTTCTGGGGTGTTAGAATATATGTAGATGAATCATCTATAAATAAAGCGTCATGGGATTTCGAATTCTTTTTTTGTGCTAAAGCAGTCACGTAGATTACTGATAGCAATGCAATCTATAACTAGAAAACAATTATCTTCTTGCCTTATACCAGATTCAGTCATAGTTGATGTATTTTACTTACTGACGCATAAACTATTAGAATAGTGAGAAATTTCTATTCGAAATGTATGATTATTAGTTATTGTTTTGAAAATCATTTTAACTCTGTTTATAGCAACGTTAGCTGTAATCGTAGCTAGATCAAAATAATAAAATTAGTATCTATCGTATAGGGTTGACGTTTTAATTCATAGATTTACGATACTATGCCAGCGGATTTTAAAGGTCTTTTTAAAAATTATAAAGAGAATTCACACGAGTAGTAATTCGTAAGTTAGATTCGATGTTTTATTGCAATTAAAATTTTTGAAGCATTCAAAAATTGTAGAATTTAAGCTTAATTACCGGTTCTCTCTCTTCACTTCAAAGCAATTCAATTTTCAGAGATGTGACTGATTTACATTAAAAATTTAAATATTGCAAATAATATTTTGATTATAATTATTCAAAGCAATGAGGTATTACTTATTACTTCTTAAAAGATAGCTTACGATGTTGAATAAAAGGTCAATTTTTAATAGATAAAATCTTTAGAAAATTTATAATGTTGTTTAAAGGCCGTATTAGAAGGCCTTTTATGTTACGAATAATTTAAGATTTATCTATCTAAGTAGGGAAATGAATATGTATAATAGCAAAATCTAAAATTGGGTGATAATTAAATAATTTTGGAACAAAGAATACTTAAAATTTTAAAAACAGAGCTCACAACAATAGTACCGATACTAATTATTAATTATTTTATTTAATTAGAATACCTCTAAATTGTATATTGGAAACATAATAGTAACAGCCTGTCCAGATGTTCAGATTGCTTTGAAGAAAACTTATAATACGGATAAATATTTACTTAAACTGTTTTGAGTTAAATAAGGCAAGCATCCATAAAAAGAAGTATAATCTTGCTTATTTCTTAATGTTATTTCATAATTTTGGTTATCCACTTATGACGAAAAATTATTTGTGTATTTAGTATTATGAAGAGTTTAATGAGCTACTGTTGCATTTACGCCGCCGTTTTATTGGTCCAAGGCAACTTATGTAAGGAAAATGTTACCATCATGTGTTTAGTACCATATTTTAAGTGGTATTTCCATACCCAGCACTTGGTTACAGCCGCAAAGATGGCCATTAACAATATCAATGAAGCTGATTATGTTTTGCCCAACTACCGATTACAGGTTGAATACCTAGATAGCCAGGTAAGCGTAAAAATGAAGGTTTCCTGATTAACTATTAGTAATTCAGCATATTCACAGGTCCATCTACAAGTGTGTAATTAAGGTAGCTTCTTAAAGATTACTATCATTTCATACAAGGTCGAATAATATCGATCGTTGGAAATTTTCAGTAGAAAATTTTTTAATTCTTAGCAGAATAAAATAAAGACTAGAAAAGATTTTCATCCAATTTCGCTATGATACTGATGATGATCACTATTGGCAATTGTTAATTTATTCTTTTACCGGTATTCCATTCTTAATTGGGCTAATTAAATTTTCCCTTCATGCTCTACAAATAAAGGGCAAATATCACAAAGTAAAGTTAAAAAATAAAGAATTATTTAAATAGATTACTACGCAAATTCAGTATTCTAATTTATTAGCGAAAACTCCATTAGAAAAATGCACTATTAGATCATTGATGAGACTTCTAACTAGGGAGAATCTAAATTTTTTACAATCCATCTAGTAAATTTAGGCTCTTATATTTTCAATATCAAGAGAAGTATTCAGGCGCTAATAATTGTGCAGAATTCGATAATTGAATTCAATTTCTGAAGTAATTTGAGATAAATGTTGGTATATTGTAAACTACTAGATTGAATTGGCATCTCGTCGTGTATTTAATTAATTCATAAAATTATTTTAGTGGAATAACGCTACACCTAAGAGAAATTTAACCACCTGTCATTTAAGGGAAAAGCTTTTACTTTTTATTATTTTTGTGTATCTGGTATCTTAGATTATATAAACCTTGTTTAATGTTGCTTTTAATTACAGATTTATGGACCAATAGCAACTAAAGCCATGATCGATTCAATTTTACGCCCACCCACCAAAATAGCTATTGTCGGTCCATTGATATCTTCTGCTAGTGAATACGTTGCGTCAATAGCAAAATACTGGAACTTAGTTCAGGTTTGTAATTCTTTCATTACGTGATTTAAATGCAGGTTGTAACAAAATTTTCTTCTACCCATTTCTCTCAGTTTTTTATACAAGAAAGGAAACTGCCTGTAAATGTAGTAATTAAAGCAGTTTTATTAAAGAATATAAACATCCTTACAGAGATTATAACTGCTACTAACTCCACTTGAGTGGTGGTTGCTGTCCCTTATTATTATTAATCAGTTAAATGGCATTGTTAATTCCGTCGTAATAGGTTCTAACTCTCGTCTATCCTTTCTAGAGTTTCCTACCTCTCCATTATACACATTTCTATCTATTACTACGTAATTACTATGTTGATCATACAATATGCCTATTGTCTCAATTTTTCCCTATTCACATACCATAATTACTACATTAGCTTACACTAATTTAGGCTATTTTGTATAATACAAGCAGAAGTAGTACATTAAGTTGGAGTTATCAGTCAGTTAAACATGAAAGGCTAGCTTTGTCTGGGGTTACTAGTAAATCCCAAAATTGCAATATTTAAACTAGCACTGAATTGCTCTATTGCATATTAGACTGAAGTGATAATATTTCAATATGTGATTAGAACATTATGGAAATAGCATCATATGCGGTAATACTGTTGAGATTTCGATAGATCTTATAATGTTCACCAGTATTACAGTATGTGTTAGCATAATGTGCGATACTGTTTAATAATACCAAAATGCAGAAGAGTTATTACAACATAGGCGTTGTTCGTTTATAGCTGCATGCTTGATTTCCAAATTTTTGAGCACACTTATAACAAATGCCGATAACATATTTGGTCTTGCTTGAGATTTTGTTATTAGCATATCCCAGATTTCTTTGAAAAATAAACTTATTTTTAACTACTCCAAACTGATCAAGTATACGTATTGACCATGAAAAATTCTATTTATAAGCGCTTCTTAAGATTATAATATACATGATACTTTAAGTTTTTCTTTACAGATTGGTTACGCTTCTATAACTGTTGCTTTGGACGATAGATCGATATATCCATACTATTTTCGAACAGCTGTAACGGAAAAGAGTTTTAACGCAGCCAGGTTGGCTTTCTTTAAGCATTTTCAGTGGAATAAAATTGGGATTGTCCATAGTTCATCTGGCGCTTATCCTAAGGTATGCTTGATTATAAATTTTGAGGCTGCAGACTATTAATTGCAATAGGATCTATTTTAAAAAATCCTAAGCAAACAAAATCAAAATTTTATTTATTTGTGCGCAACAATGGAGCTCGCATGGCGTGATATAGTCTGAGAGTAATTACTATATTCTTTTATAGCTTTCTTAAGACTCAAAAAATCGTTTAGGTGAAACGTAAGGTTCGAAGTGGAAGAATAAATACTTTTGTTTTCTGAGAAAGCAGCATTTGTTTCATACAGAACATATAATTCGTTTAGATAACTTCAACGTACAAAAAAATTAAAAAAGGAAACTTAATTAAAGAATTAATTTACGAAAGTTTCGCTATTTAGTGACACTCTAGCCTATAAATTATTAGAATATAATTTGAGGCTGCTTTATGCTATAGCTTATATGTTAATCGTTCGTGAATGATGCATTAATAAAATTTAAGCATTGGTCAAAAACTGCGCTAATAGTTGCATATATAATTTTGTAAAAGCAAATAATTCACTTTACTATTTAATTAACGCTTTTATTTTGCTGTTCCATAATTAGTCATATCCCAAGAAATGTTAATTTGTTTTCATTTATTGAATTGTGGTTGCATGCTAACACTTTTTTGGCCAGTCCATAACTTACAGAAGTATTCTTTGTTTTACCTTCTTCAATTGCTATCAGGCATTCAACTTCTAATATATTTGTATTTGTAATTCTATGCTCTTTCATAATTTTAGTCTGCATTACTAGTGCTAAACGAAATGACTAAAGCCAACGTGGATGTCGCTGTTATAGAAAGTATCACCGGAGATGGTAGCTTTGCCTTAAACAGTTTGAAGGTAACTTTTCTAAATTGAATATAATACTCGTAACTTAGATGTAGAAACTATATTCCAATAAAGGTATCTGTATAGCAAAAGAATGGAATTACATTACTTCATATTAAAACTCAACGTAAATGTAAATGATAATTAGAATTTTTCTATACCCTACAATATTCTAACTACAAAACGAAGGTTTCAACATTTTTATTTATCTATTTCAAATTTTAATTAATTAACATAATTGCCTCAAAAGTAACTTACATTAAGAAATACTTAGTGATTAGCCATTTTTCGGACCTGTTCAGGTTAAGGATGTTAGAATAATATTGCATTTTGGATACACAGGCGATGCTAGAAGGCTGCTATGCACGGTGAGAAATATTCTGATAACAATTGAAATTTTCTTTATTATGAAAATGTTAAACGTCAAACGATAGCGATCCGTAATATCACTACTGTAATTGTAAGTCCCTACTTAGAAGATTAAGTCATCTATTGGATAGTACTAGTCTTTCAAAGATTTGGTTGTACGAGCTTATACTCGTATAAAAGAAATATATTACTATAGTGTAAATAGTTTTATTCGAAAATTAGAATGTATTGAAGTGGACTAATATGCAAGAGTAAGATTTTAATTAACCCAGTTAAAAGTTTCTTAACTAAATACAGACGTATCTACAGGATATTCTTCTACCTATATATTGCGGTAAACTATATGATCAATATTTGTGTGGCAGCACTCATTTGTAAACAATTAAGCTGTCTGTTAGCTACATAATAAAGATCATTTAAGACCTTTACTAAATGCATTGCATGTATTTTTTAAATATTTAAAGTATGTTAGAGAAAAATTATAATCAAATCATACAATCGTTCTAGCATTCGATATTATAGGACTGTAACTAATACGAGTATATCACTTTTACTTTTGCACCAAACTTTTGAAATATCATTTCCAACAATTTAAAGATTAAATCTTAACTCCTAGATTCAATTAATGAACACCCACGATAGGTCGATACATCTATTATTCGTATTCTTTTTTTTAACAGGCATATCGCCAAAATTACTATGGATCAAAATATATCTGGTGGTTTCCAGGTTTATTTAGCTCTAACTGGTGGGATGAATCCCCTCGTGATCACAATTGTACTGCAAAGCAACTGTTTGAAGTAATCAAAAACAGTTCATTTTATACTAATGCGCCAATTTATTCTCCATCTAAGACTCCTGCGGTATCAGGAAAGGTACTATTATTGCTTGTAAATTAAATATTTCACTTTTATGCATACTTTGTTTGGATTTATATATGTCTGCATGATACATCTCAGTCCACAGTGATCATGATGATAGTAATGCGAGTATTTAATACATTTAATGCATTAATGGTTAGTTGATAAGCCCACTCTAAGCTATATAATATTAACCGTAATTATGATGTTTTACTGACACAGACAGGATTGCAGTTTTATGAAGAATTGAGCAAACGAATAAATTACACAATTCAAGACAGTGATGTCTCCAGTGCTGTTGGAGCAATATATGATTCTATTTGGAGTATAGCACTCGCGCTAAATCAAACAGAATCTCGTCTCATACAGAAGAATATCTCAATAACTGACTTTAACTATCAAAATAATTATATAAGATCGAACATTTTCGAAGAATTATCGAATTTGTCATTCCAGGGAGTTACTGTTAGTATATCCTTGTCCATTCTCCAGTTATATAGTTCTAAACATTTGTAATAAGTTGAATTATTTCCTAACAAAGCATTAAGATACTTACTATTATTGAGACAAAATATATTAGACTCTAAATTTTATGTTTAATGATGATTGTATGCTATCTTAACCATTTTGCTTATACCTTTATCGTTTCTGTAAATGCTTATTGGTAATGAATTCACTAAGCATAAAATAAAAGTTATACACCTTTGAATTATTTCGACCTTTTAGGGATATATATCTTTCCTACAAGGGAGTAGCCGATTAGGAGACGTCATAGTTTTGCAGCAGCAGGGTAAAGAGCCAACTCTGCTCTAACAGATTTAGCTAATAAACATTATGAGAGCAGTGCTATATATAATGCGGTATTTGATCTTAGGCTGGGATACGCGTCAGAAAATAGGCTTTTATAAAATTTACGGCGATGAATTGAAAATTTATAACAAAACGATATTATGGCGAGGTAAGAGCGTATAATTTAATGATCCTACGTAAAACATTAAATAAGTTAATTATAAAATTCTTATTTATCATTTGCATTTGTTATAGATGGCAAACCACCTCAGGATCGATTAATTATCACGATAGCCATTAAGACCATTGCTATCGAATTATTTATAGTATTTAGCGCTATCAGCTGTTTAGGGATTTTATACTGCCTAGCACTAATAGCATTTACATTCATTAAAAGGAATAATAGGTAACTACTTGATAACTATTATCTGCTAATCCAATTTGTCTTAGACCAATTCATGAATCTAAATTATCTTTTAACATATCTTATATCTTATGTAGGTTTATTAAAATGGCTAGTCCGAATTTAAATTGCTGCATTTTAATAGGGTGTATACTATGTTACACTTCTGTTCTAATTAGTGGGATGGACGCAGTAATTCCTGCCCTTAAAGATCGTAAATATAGTTGTGTTGCTGAAATATGGCTACTTAGTATTGGTTTTACCATTGCTTTTGGTTCGGTTATGTTAAAAACCTGGAGAATATTCAAAATATTTACTAACAAGACAAAAATTAGACTGGTTAGTATCTAGATGCTTCTCGTGCAATAGTTATAACGATATAATCTTCAGCTGTCACTTTTTGAAAGGTTTATTTCCATTAATATCATATAGTATTTTCTGGGCACAAAAATGTTACAAGCTTCAATGATTAAATATTAAAATTACCAATTATATTTAAATTAATAAGTTTGCATTGCTACTCAAATTATTTCTGAGCCATAGTTGATGAATGTTCTTATAAATTATCAACATCAGAATTCGATAATATAATTTGCGAATTGTTAGTTATAATTGATGGTACATAGGCCAACAGTCTAATAGTCCAATTCATTTTGATTCGGTATGTGCACTGATTTATATGAAAATGGCTGCGAGTTAGCTGCTTTAGCACATCATCTATATAGATATAGTATGTAGTTTCAAACTATTATAAAAGTCACAGGCTTATGGATAAGATACTGTAAAGAATTCAATATACACGGAGCTAATTTAAGGTATTCAAAACTTTCATGGCAGTAAAGTAATCATGTCTCTAGCAAAACCACTTCAACCGCTTTAGCCAAAACCAAGTTAAATGCTCTTGTTGCTGAAATACTTATAGGAATCGAAGTGTTCATTCATGTTATCAGCACACAATATCGAACATTACAGTAGATCGATTCCCTCTCCCCAAAAATAAAATGATAAGCATTAACGCGATAACATTCGAAATAGAGTTAGATATGTGAGCTATACTAGTCTTTCCAATAAGATTGCAAAACCAGCCTGTATTGATTGGTTAGTCTTTTATCGAATGGGAAATTTTAACTTTCTGAATTACTTTGCACTACTCAATTTAGCGCACAGTTACCCAAATTCGTCATTAAAGTTTCATTATACAATATCATACAGTAAGAAAGAATGAAAAATTTTCGTACTTTGAATGTAGCTTAACTTATATACTAGTTAAGAAATGAGATTTTGTTGTTACTGGTATCTTAATACAGTTTCTATTTTGGAGGCTTGCTATAGTTTTATGTTATTCTGCTTGACTATAGTAGCATATTCGCTTAGGTATAATACTTGTAGTAAGTAGTCCGTAGAAGAGGCTATAGATAAAATAATAATCGCCTAAAAGGCGTTCGTGTTATATAAAAATTTGCATTAAATTAATTGCCGACCGTGATCTTAGCTAAGATAACACTTTCGCATTCGTTGGTGTTGCTCTGTAACGTATTAAATCGAAATTGATGCGGGCTTGGCAATATCTTCGCATTGCTACACACTCTACAGTGGATTCATCAGGAGATTTCTAGCAAATCTTTCTTGTTAGAGAAGAGTTTTGAAAACGTAATAGTACGGCAATAGGCAAACTAATTTAATAATAATTAATTGTAGAAAATGGTAAAGATTATAAATGCTTAAAGTCAATAAGCATAACTAAACTAAATCATTCTGTACGTGGGTATATTGTAAACGCTTAAAGTGTAATGAGATTATAAAGTTAACTCAATGTAAAAGCTATATGAAATGCCTGTATATAAGAATGAAAAGTATAGTTTCAGTACAGTCTTCATACACTATTTACTCTTATCTTCAATATGCAGAACTCTTTAGTTCGCATTAAATGTAGTAACTGACTTTAAGTTGGGATAAAAATTTTATTAGACAGGTAAAAGGTAAAATTACTGAGTTGCTAGCTTTACTTAAATCGTTACTTGATCAATTTCAGAAAAAAATAATTAGGAACAGGAATCATCTTACCAAAACTAAATATCCAATATCCTTGCTTGCGCTGCACTAGACATCTTGATTTTATATTTAGAACCAATGCCCTTGGCACTGTATAAAATGATATATCTTAACAACAAAGAGTAGAAAGTGTATATCCTACGTATAATGTCTATGAAGTTATTATTAAACTGAAAACTAAGATAAACAAAGCAATATTCTGCCTATATTTGTTTACGAACCATTAGAAATTTACGCGATCATGACTGAAATACTGCAGTTCCAACGGCGAATAAATATAAGCTCTATCATTGCAGTAACTGTAACTTCGCACTGGTATTAACTTTTGTTCCGGAATAGCTTGAGTGAATCGTCTTACTTTTAAATCGATCACATTAATGAGACATTATAATATCTTACTATAGGTAATCAAAGATATCCACCTTCTTACTCGAGTTGCCGAATTATTAATTGTTGATATCATTATACTAACTTTATGGAGTGTCATTGATCCTGTATCTACAACAGAAATCGATGTTGGTACTGTAGTTGTAAGTTTG